GAGGGAGGGTGTGGGCGCCGTGTGTTTGCCCCGACAGCTGCAGCCAAAGGAGCAGCGCCCGGGCTGCGAGCACCGGGAGCACCCCAGGGAAGGATGCTCTGCCCCGCTCTCCTCGCTGCTGCCGGCCTCGGGGTGTGAAAATGCGGCTGGAGAGGGTGAAGTGATGCCAGGAAGGGTTTTGGCCCTTTGGGAGGTGCGGGATGCTGAAAAACCAGCTTTGTGTATTTTTTATATAGAATTTAAAAGTTTAATAGACAATTAGGAGGTAAAAACAAAGTGTACAGATCCAGCCAGGTGTCTCTGCATTCCCCTCACTAACAAAGGATTGTCCCTTAAAAACAGAACCCTACTACATATCCATAAATTCTCACACATATTCAGACATTCCTCTTGAGTTTTTTGATGTTCTTTTGTTTAGATTTTACCTTGCCCCCTTCCCAACAGATCAATCTTCTTGGTGCCACTGGGTTTTATATCCTCCAATAACAGATGTAATAATTTTTTTTCTTGGAGGACAAAATAATCTTAATAATTCAGGGGGGTCTCTGATTATCTTTTCAGTCTCTGGGTTATACAAACAAAAAGTAGTTTGTGCTTTAATATCATGTTATAGCCTAACATATATATGTATTACACCACTAAATTTCATCAATAACAGAAATAAAAGAAGCTATATTAGTACAACAAAGTTTTCTAACCTCTTGCATATAACATTCATTATAATATTTGCAAAAAGCCAATAATATAATGTGCACTTGTAACACCGGTATCCCAAAAAATCAGAGAGGGGATTGAGAGAAAGGAGGTGCCCTGCACCCTTGGCAGAGAAACTCTGAGGGATGCAGGATGGAGGACTTCTGGCAAGGGCATGGAGTGACAGGACAAGGAGGAAAGTCTTCAAAAGTGACAGAGGGCAGGGTTAGTTTGGGTGCTGGGAGAAAGTTCATCCCTGTGAGGGTGGGGAGGGCTGGCACAGGGTGCTCAGAGCAGCTGTGGCTGCCCCTGGATCCCTGGAAGTGCCCAAGGGCAGGGTGGACAGGGCTTGGAGCAGCCTGGGATGGTGGATTCCTGCCCATGGGTTGGAATGAGGTGATGTTCACAGTCTGTTCCAAACCATTCCATGGTTCTATGCTCCAAGGGGGGTATTGGAGGTTAAAACCATGTGGGATCTGTGCCCACAGCCCCACTCTGAAGGTGCTGGCACTCAGCAGGCAGCGGTGAGCAGGAGCAGCCCCTCTCAGGGTCCCTGGCAGATGAGGAAGGTGCTGCTGGAGACACAGACAGAGCAGACAGCAGCAGGGGAGGTACAGATGAGTCACGGCCCTGCAGCGTGGGGAGCCGGGGCTCTGCGTGGCTGCTGCAGCAACAAGATCCCAAAAAAAGGAGCCCTGTCACAACGGGTACAGCGTGTGGCTGCCCACCTACAGCGTGTGCAGCTGTACCAAGCGAGGCTCTGTGCTGGCTCCCCGTGGAGATCCCGCTGTGCCACAGCCCAGGCAGGGCAGCAGACAGCGGGGTGGCTGTGGGGTGGCTGTGGGGTGGCTGTGGGGTGGCTGTGGGGTGGCTGTGGGGTGGCTGTGGGGACTGTGGCACTGTCACAGGTCTCAGGAGGGGCATTCCTGACCGGTCTGTGGGTAGCATCAGTGAGCAGAGCTGTGCCCAAAGCTCTCAGCCGAGCCCAGGCACCTGGCCAGGGGTGGAGCATGGATGGCACAGGCTCTGGGCAGCGAGGGTGGGGCACCTGGAGGTGTCACAGTGAGGAGGAGGTGGTGACAGAGCAGTGCCCGGTGGCCTTAGCCCCATGGCCTGTTTTCCCATGCTCAGGCTGCTGGCACAGGGAGCTGGCAGCAGGCTTGGCAGCGTCCTGGCAGGTTCTCCTGCCAAGCACAGCACGGAAACAGGAGCGATCCTGGATAATGCTCCGGGGGGTTGTTAGCGGTTCACAGCTTCCCCGTGGTCTGGAGAGCTGCCGGAGACCATCAGTGCACAGGTCCTTGCTGTTCCTCTTTGCTTCCCAGGCAAAAGAGAGCTGGGTGTGCTGCTGGGAGGCACTGTGGGGGGCTGTGTGGGCTCTGCACCCCGTGGTGATGTGTCAGGATCATCCTGTGTGCAGGTACGACGCAGGGAAGGACGGCTTCATTGATCTGATGGAGCTGAAGCTGATGATGGAGAAACTGGGGGCTCCACAGACGCACCTGGGACTGAAGAACATGATCAAGGAGGTGGATGAAGACCTGGACAGCAAGCTCAGCTTTCGAGAGGTGAGGGGATAGGAGGCACCACGCTGGCAGGGAGATGTCCCCAGCCGCTCTTCGGGCTGCTGAGACGGTGGGCAGTGGCCGTGGTGGCTTTGGGGTCTTCAGGGAGCCAATGCTACCATCTCCCCTCACAGTTCCTGCTGATTTTCCGGAAGGCAGCAGCGGGTGAGCTGCAGGAGGACAGTGGGCTGCACGCCCTGGCCCGGCTCTCCGAGATCGATGTCTCCACAGAGGGGGTGAAAGGCGCCAAGAACTTCTTTGAGGCCAAGGTGAGGCTGAGGAGGTCCCACTGCAGGATGGCGATGCCCCAGGGCAGTTTGGTGCCGGGTAGGCAGGAGGTGGAGATGTTGGGGCGGGCAGGAGAGCTCGGCAGAGGTCACAGCCGGACATTTCCATCCGCAGGCACAAGCCATCAACGAAGCCAGCAGGTTCGAGGAGGAGATCAAGGCAGAGCAGGAGGAGAAGAAGAAGCAGGCAGAGGAGCTGAAGCAGAGGAAGGCAGCCTTCAAGGAGCTGCAGTCCACCTTCACGCAGTGACAGGGCCGGGCAGGACTGGCCAGCGGTGCCCAGACTGGCAGCGCTGCCCGTGCCAGCCGTGCCGGGAGCGATG